GTAAAAGGAATAGTTATTTATAAGTGTGTGAATAATAATTTATGAGTGTATGAACAACGTTTCAAATAATCAATGAATAGTGAATAATAGTTTTATTGAAATTTTATTGATAATGATAATTTGCAGAGCGAGAGACGCAAGGCATGGGTTCAAATTTATTTAGTTTAATGAGAACATGGAATAGGTGTGTGCGATGTTCAAAATAAAAAAAGATGAGTGCTTAAGCTCTGCTGTACAAATACCAATTCTATTATTTGAGGATCACGTCAAAACAATGAACTGAGCTGAACTGGTCCCTTCAAATAAAAGTATCATCAGCTCCTGACTAGTATTGAGGAGCTAATATCGTTGTCTCTGTCATGAGGCTTCTTTTGGCCAAAGATATTTTCATCATGAAGCAGACAAATTTTCCAACTTGAGATAATTTGCAGTACGAAGAGAGCTGGCATGCCACTACAAGTGGAGGACAGTAGTTTGCATAAACATTTTTCGTGGAAATAAACTCCCGCTGGTTGGCTCTTGGCTGGTTCCATTGAAAGAGATTTAAAATTTATATCAAAATTTTCTTTACATGAAGGGCAAACTCCATTGTTGAAAAAAGCAAGCTAATTCCTTCCGAAGAAGGAAGGGGATTGGCCTCCTTGCTAAAATTCCATCTACAATTGCAATTCCAAACACTATATTTGTCTGTGCATTTTCTTTAGGATCCCATCTTTGTTTTTTTTGTAGCCATCAATTTCTGATCTTTACTTAGTGTAATGGGTGGTTAGCTACTAGTAACTTCTTTAGGTGAAATCATAATCTTATGTCTATAAATCATTATAAATCAATAGACATTTCTAATGTCTTTTTAAATTTCTACACATTATCATTTTTATAGTTTAATCTTGATATAAAAAACAGTAATAATAAAAAATTATTTTTTATTTAAATAATATTACATTTAAGTAAAGTTAAAACTTTCCAAAGGTCTTTTGACTATGATAATAGTGTCATTTACTATGAATAAGACAATTATAATTGTTATTAAGTATATAATAGTACTTATGAATTTAATAATAGAAAAGTTCATGTAATAAGACTGGTCAATTAGAGAGTATATTATAAATTAGACTCTCTAATTTTATTTTAAAAACTAATTAATTAGTCTCTTGATTCTTAATGTTACCATGGTTAATTTAATATTATTTTGTTTCAAAAAATATTTTATTTTCTAGTCAATCTTTTCATTTTTTTTACTTATTATTTTTCCTTTTTTATTTATTAAATAAAAAACAATATAAATAGAAAAAAGATGAAAATGATTAAGTTGTAAATATATTAAAAAATATAGGGATGGATTAATTAGTTATTGAACTAAATAGACAATTTAATTTATTTTAAAAAAACTAGAGAGACTTAATTATAATTTATCAAGGATTGTCTCATTGTAACTGAATCAAATAAACTTTTATTGGATATCTTCATATCAATCCCCAACTATTAACTATTTCTCAGTTGCATCCCCACCCCAACCTCTATATGTCAATTGGGTCTCAAAATTATATAACCATCCTCCAACTATTACCAATTTCTCGATTGAATTTCTAAAATATACAAGAATTTTCAATTAAGCCTTTTTGTCCGAAATTATTGTGATTGTTTTTTGACAAATAACGTTAAGTTATATATATATATATATATTTCTCAATTGAGTTCCCAAAATATATAACAATCTACAATCTTCAATCTAAGTCCTTTTTTTTTTTTAAATCTAAAATCCTTGTTGGAACTAGATTGGAACGCGAAGTGGCTTTAGATTCGGGGGTTCTTGCTGTAGCCGAACACGATGGAAAGATAATTTATACCGACATTGATAAGATTATTTTATCGGGAAATGGCTATACTCGTAAGCATTCCATTACTTATGTATCAATGTTCCAACAAAAATACCTATAGTCAGTTAAACATTTGAGAGTTAAAAACTCGTTAATTTGAAGAGTATTTTTTTTATTATTTGATTTATTAGATCTTGAACTTGAATTTTGATGAACTTCTTTTCGTTTTCAGTAATTCATGAAAAAATGAATCAAGGAACCCCTTATGAATGTACCAGCTACAAGAAAGGACTTTATGATAGTCAATATGGGTCCCCATCACCCATCAATGCATGGTGTTCTTCGACTCATCCTTAGTCTAGACGGTGAAGATGTTATTGACTGTGAACCAATATTAGGTTATTTACACAGAGGGATGGAAAAAATTGTGGAAAACCGAACAATTATACAATATTTGCCTTATGTAACACGTTGGGATTATTTAGCTACTATATTTACAGAAGCAATAACAATAAATGGACCGGAACAATTGCGAAATATTCAAGTACCTAAAAGAGCTAGCTATATCGGAGTAATTATGTTGGAGTTGAGTCGTATAGCTTCTCATCCGTTATGGCTTGGCCCTTTTATGGCGTATATTGGTGGGCGGACTCCTTTCTTCTATATTTTTAGAGAAAGAGAGTTAATATATGATTTATTCGAAGCTACCATTGGTATGAGAATGATGTATAATTATTTTCGTATCAAAGGAGTAGCAGTCGATCTACCTCATGGTTGGCTAGATAAATGTTTGGATTTCCTAGATATCGTCATTGCATCTTCTCCGGAAAAGAAGTTCACGACCCGTAGGCCTTCTACCTCCACACAGACATTACTCCGTCAAGCTTTCACCCATTGCGAAAAATTCCCCATTATCGCCTCCCGTAGGAGTCCGGGCCGTGTCTCGGTCCTAGTGTGGTTGATCATCCTCTTGGACCGGTTATTGATCATCGTCTTGGTAAGCTATTGCCTCACTAACTAGCTAATCGGACACGAGCCCCTCCTCGAGTAGATTCCTCCTTTTGCTCCTCGACCTACGTGGTATTAGCAGCCATTTCCGGCTATTGTTCCCCTCCCAAGAAGCGAGTTCTTACGTGTTACTCACCCGTCCGTCACTGGAAACACCACTTCCCGTCCGACTTGCATGTGTTAAGCATGCCACCAATGTTCATCCCGAGCTAGGATCGAACTCTCCATGAGATTCTTAGTTGCATTACTTATAGCTTCCTTGTTCATAGACAAAGCTGATTCGGAATTGTCTTTCATTTCAAGGCTTGTATCCATGCGCTTCATATTCGCTTAAAGTTCGCTCCAAGAAATATAGCCATCCCTACCCCCTCATGTCAATCCCATGAGAGTTAAATAAAATAAGGTTGAATAAAATAAAAAATTCGATTGATTATTTAATATGCTATGCTTAGTGTGTGACTCGTTGGTTTTTCAAAGGTCAAGATTAAAAAACAAAAGACCAATGCATACTATGAACTAATGAATTAATAAGTATAAATATAAAATTTATAACCAACTCATCGCTTCACATTATCCGGATCCGAATCAAAAAAAGCAGTCAAAGTCAAGATAGAATAGATTAGTCATTTCATTGTAGCAATTGAAATCTTTTTTGCATAAATAAACTAAAAACCAATCGGATTATGAATTGTAAAGCAAAATAGAAAATTATGTAGATAAATGGAACGATGAGAGAAAAAGAGAAAAAGAATATCAATGATATAGGATTCTAATATGTGCAAGATCTATAGGTCATATCATAAAAACCAATTTAATAAAACATCAATATCAATTGATCCATAATTAAATGAATCCCGTTCGTTCATAGAACAAAAAAATCAAGAGCCTTGAGCCAATAAAGACTAAGAACATTGACTCAAAAACAAATTTATTGGGGGCTCCATTGTATAATTAAGACCTAACCATTAATCGAAAAGCGATGGGAACGATGGAACCTATGAATGCATAAGATTTTATTGAAAATGAATCTTAATGATTTATTGGGTGGGATGGCGAAACGAACCAAGAGACAATTCATTTGTTTTTTTTTTTTTAACAAATATCGTTAAGTTATATTAAATTTAACATACTTTTATTGCATATCATACGTTGGAAATACTAACAAATTTGGACGAAGGGCTTAATTGAGGATTGGTGTATAGGCTGGAGAATTGATAAGAAAATAGATTAGGGGTCTAATTGAGAAGTGGTGTATAGTTTGGGGACTAATACGATGTTACCCAAAATTTTTCATGTTTAATGCCTTTGAACAATCAGAATGCTTACTTGCATAGCACTTACTACTATTTTTTTTCCCCAGGAAACCAATTAAGATAATGACAGCACTAGTAAATGAAGGCCTTGCCCATGACAAATCTTCCTCCAGGAAAGATTTAGACATTTTTTCAAAAGTTATCAATAAATAACATCAGATCCATCAGTTTCATTCCACTCCGCAATTAAGAATAACCTTAGTCCGTACCCCGTAACCCTATTTTCCGCAGGAAAATTAGCAAACCAAGAGAATAATTTACATAAAAGAAAGAAAACCTCACCGTACATATATTCCATACTCATCTTTTCATTCTCAAAAAAAAAAAAAAAAAAAAAAACTCCAAATTTGTTTTCAAATTTCATAAAAACGTATGGATGTTTCATTAAAATCATCAATATAGAAAATTTAATTTTAATTGACCTGATAGCTAATCCAACAATATTTCTTTCATAAACAAATAAAAAAAACCCTCTTTTTTTTTTGAATTTTCCCTGCCTCCTCATTCTTTTATAATCCATTAAAAGAATCTCCTAAATAAACACGAGTTAAAATTGAAAAATAAAATAAAATAATTATAGAGTAAAACACTCACGAATCCAATAAATAGAGCCCCACGCAATCCTGCCACCCAAAAACCAAAATAAACAAGCCAATATATATATATATATATATATATATATATATATAATATAAATTCTGAATCGGAATGCCACTTCAGCTCACATAATATCAAACATCAAACAAGAACAAGAAATCCCCTCCTTCTTTCTTTCTTCCTTGCTTCCTCAAGGATTGAAAGAAAACACAAAAATAGTTTCTTTGGATCCAAAACCCAAAAAGATTCAATCTTTACCACAAAAATGAACGAAGAAACCACAGGAACACCACCACAACAACCACCACCATCATCAGCACCAAGAGCAAGACCAACAATAAGAAAGCCCACAACCTCAGTTTTACGACATCAAACCCCAAGACTTAGGGACCATTATTTGTTAGGAAAGAAACTAGGGCAAGGTCAATTTGGAACCACATTTCTATGTACCCATAAAGCAACCGGCGATCTTTACGCCTGCAAATCAATTCCAAAAAGGAAACTTTTATGTAAAGAAGACTATGAGGATGTTTATAGAGAGATCCAGATCATGCACCATTTGTCAGGGCAACAAAATGTGGTGCAAATTAAGGATACTTATGAGGATCCAATGTTTGTACATTTGGTTATGGAGTTATGTGCAGGTGGTGAGCTTTTTGATAGGATTGTGGCAAAGGGTCATTATAGTGAGAAAGAGGCTGCTAACTTGATCAAGAATATAATTGGGGTGGTTGAGTATTGCCATTCCTTGGGGGTTATGCATAGAGATCTCAAGCCTGAGAATTTCTTGTTTGATAAACCTGGTGATGATGCCAAGCTCAAGACTACAGATTTTGGTCTCTCTATCTTTTACAAGCCAGGTTGGGTTTTCTTTACTTGTGCTTTTTTTTTTTTTTTCCTGAAGAGAATGGTGGTTTTGATCTCTCATTTCGGCTGTTCTTGTATAAGAGGTTTCTTTTGTTTTTTGTTTTGGTTTGATTTTGAACCCTTATTGTGTGATTGGTAATCTTGCATTCTTTGTTTTCTTGGAATCTTGGTATAAATATTTATAGATTTCATATTTGGTTCGGAATTTCCTGTGATTTTGATTGATTAGAAGAATGGCCGATTTTAAATTAATTTCCAAGTTTTGAGGTTTCATTTCTGTTCTTTCTGGAATTAGATTATTCAAACTCAGTGTGTTTTATGGAAGCTTGTGTCCTCTTTCTTTATTCGCTCTAGAATTTCATTATTTCTTGCTCCTTGTGTTTTAATTCTTCTGGTTAATGCGATTTTCATCTATTTGATTAGAAGAATATGTTGTTTCTTGTTTCTAGAAATTCCTTTTTATATTTTGTCCATCGTTTCTTGTAGAAATATTTGGTTCAGTCTGTGATCTGTCTGACCAAACAATTTCATCTTATTTTTGGACTAGAGAACCATTTCAGGAATTCTATATTTGTTCATCATCTGTTTGGACTTTGGACTACTGGATAGGTTCTTTCTGTTCTATCACCTTTCTAAAGGGTATAGATGAGCTATTTCAGGGTGTTATATTATCTGCCTTGAACTTCTATTATTTATTTTCTTTATTTTGCTTTCTCAATCTTTCTTTTCTCTTTTACCTGCATCCTTTTTCACTGGAATAATAACCTGTTAGCAAAGACAAATGGAAATATGATGGAATTACTATCGAAGAAAGTAAAATGAGGATACTCCCTCATAATAAACAGAAAACAATTGTTTGAGTATATGGTTGAGGTTTATAACCTCTTAAAGAAATTTCTGTCCATTGTTTTCTTCTGCTCTTTCTAACTTGAGTTGACCTTCTTTTGGTAAATATTAATTGCTAGGAATTACGTATATGCTTAATTGTTCCCTGAGTTTCTGAATGGTATTTTGTCAAAGATGTATGGTTGGTTAATTTCTCCCCTATTCCTTTTCCCTACAGGACAATATTTTCATGATGTAGTTGGGAGTCCGTATTATGTTGCACCAGAGGTTTTGCTTAAGCATTATGGACCTCAAGCAGATGTCTGGAGTGCAGGTGTTATCCTTTACATCTTATTAAGTGGGGTTCCACCTTTTTGGGCAGGTAGGGATCCTAATTCATATTGTGTCTTGTTCTCTGCAGTTTTAGAGTTGCAACAAAGTAGATGCCTTTTGCTTATCTTCTTTTTACGTAAAGTGTATTTACTTTTTCCTACTACTTGCAGAAACTGAATCAGGAATCTTTAGACAGATCTTACAAGGAAAACTAGATTTAGAATCTGATCCGTGGCCGAATATCTCAGATAGTGCAAAAGATTTGATCCGAAAGATGCTTGAGAGGGACCCGAGGCAAAGGATTACTGCTCATGAAGTCTTGTGTAAGTGATTTCATTCTTTTGCATCGCATGTTAGTTTTGGACTTCATGTAGTAGGAATGCAGATATGTACTACCCTGCTAAAGCTGTTGCATCTTGTTCAAGACATAACAGTGGTTGTTTGTACTATTAGGTAACCCATGGATTGTAGATGACAGAGTTGCTCCAGACAAACCTCTTGATTCTGCAGTATTGTCACGTCTGAAGCAATTCTCAGCGATGAATAAACTTAAAAAGATGGCTCTGCGTGTATGTCTTATCCTCGCTTTTCTGTTATCATTTTCCATATAGACTTTTGTATATATGTTTAGGAAATTTATCCTCAGGAATTTGCTAGCAACTTAACAATTCATTTAAATTTTAGAAAGTGAAAGTATCTGCTTTAAGAAATGTCCCTGGGTAAAAGAGGCAAAACAACTAAAATTAAGCTTTAATAGTTGGATGCACCAACTCAATTCTGACAGATAGTGGCTTTTCTTGTTTCTAAGAGTGAATAATGTAGTGTTGAAGGTTTTTTGCCAGTTTTAAGACACTAGTTTATGTACTATAGAGGTCTGTTTCTTACATATTTGTCATTCTATGAATGGGTTTCAGTACGTCACGTGGAAGAAGATTTTCGTGTTTGCCTTCATAACATTCATGTTGTACTAAAGCAGTTTGACATCGATCTACATCTATGCACCTTTTTCACTGTTTGAGGCATCATCATTTCTAGTTTAGGGTTCATTTAAACTTTGAAACCATGAAAAAATTGTGATATCCAGATTATAAGCACAGAAGTGCTGAGATCAGGAGAAAGATGATTAACAATCAATGTTAGTGTTGTGATGTAATAAATCTTCCAAAGAAGATATTGTGATGTATTTCATCTTTATAGACAATTGATTTCTTAGGAATCCTGCATATTTTTGGAGAAACTTGACACATAAGGCAAGGATTACTGGTAAGAGAACCTAGATGTTGTATGATAGGCACTGTTCATCTGGTTCCCCAATGTCCCCATGCCCATGTGGGACCTTCGATTGGAGAACTGGATGCACAGCACTTAAGGCACCATACTTAGTTTTTCCTTAGTATGTCATGCTTAAAGCTAAAAGCATGTTACAAACACATATTCTGATTTTGATATAGTTGCACTAATTCTGAATAATGGTGAAGCCTGATTTTCAGCATACTACGTGGAAGGTAGTTAAGGCAGTTGAGCGATGGTCTCACTCATAGTTCCAAATAATGGCCTTTATGTAACGGATTCAGGCATTGCCTGTTTCTGTTATATGGCATTATAGGAAGCCAAATGCTGTTTCATCCAAATAACAGAAATAACAGTGTTATATAATGGTAACGACCGTTATTGCCGTTAGTTGATGAATAACAGACGTTATATTTGTTCCTTAAATAACAACAACAACAACAACAACAACAACAACAATAATAATAATAAAAGTCTTTCGATTCTTTGAAGAAACATCACCAACTCAAGTGAAATGTCACTACTTTTTCAGCCTTTGGATGTATTATACAAATGATTATAATAGTGATTCTAAAAAAAAAAAAAAAAAAACAAACAAACAAACAATTATTATATCAGTGTTCTGATAGGCTATCTACTATATTTTATAGCTGAACATACATGTGAACTTTCAGTTTGCATTTCACAGCTTCACTTGATGTTTTTGTTTTTTGCTCCATTATATTATTATTGGAGCACTTTATGTAATGTTAAAACTTGCAAGGAGAGTGAGTACTCATCCAAGCACTTATGCAATTCACATACACATGCACTTTATGTAATGTTTAAACTATTAGAAGTGTTATTGACTTTCAATTGTAATAAATTCAACTTTAGATACATGATATTAAACTATGAACGATGTTATTGCTATCTTTAATTAGTAAAACTGTTTAAAAATATGTTAATTATAATAATTTTATTAATATTTACTAATATATTCATGACATCGGCTGCCACGATCATTGTTTTACTATTGTGATAGGCTATGACCCGCAATCGTTATTGTGGTTGTTTTTATAACTGCGATCACGATTTAAAACTATGGCCTCATTAATGGACATCTCTGTCAACGCTCAACAGCATTGGTTTGCAATACAATCCAGGATCCTGAAACGATTAGCTTCTACACCCTTCACCTCTTTTAAGCTTATTATTTATTATCTTTTTAGGGGATTATCTCAATGCTACTTAAAATTTCTTTTCTGAGAACAATTCAACCATTAATAGCTTTTTGTGATGTGCAAGTAATGGATGGAGGGGGAAAGAGAAACTATTTCCTTCAACATTGATTGTGTAACCACTGAGCAAAGGATAATTTAAATGAGTTAATTATCATAAACATGCAGTAAGGGCTTGTTTTGTTAAAGGACACATATCATTTGTTCTCAAAGAAAGTATGCAACAGTGGGAGATTTCACTCCTTAGTTTAGACATTTTGTTCAATTTAAGAAATGAAGGACTTGCATGCTATGATAAAGAATCAGTTCAGCTGTTCTTTGTATTTCTAGTTGTGTTTTGCAAAAGCTGTGATGGAATTTGGTGGCCAAAACCATTTTCTTTACTTTGTTGTCTTTCTATGATGGAACAGCTGTTTTCTGATAATTATATAAATTGTAGTTTCATTCATGGCATTGGGCTTCTTTTTTTTTGTAGGTCATAGCAGAAAGACTTTCTGAAGAAGAAATTGGTGGCTTGAAAGAGCTGTTTAAAATGATTGACACAGACAATAGTGGGACAATAACATTTGAAGAACTTAAACATGGTTTGAAGAGAGTAGGTTCTCAGATGACGGAAGCCGAAATCAAGGCTCTGATGGATGCGGTAGACAATTATTACAAACTGTAGAATAAAGAATTTCTTTTTATTATTTATTTTGCCTATTGTGCCTAACATTCAGACCATCATTTTTTATATTGCGAACATGATTGTCTGGATAACTATTGATTTGTATTGCTAATCATGCATGGAAAACTTCTACAGGCTGATATAGACAACAGTGGAACAATAGACTATGGTGAATTTCTTGCTGCTACTTTGCACTTAAATAAGATGGAGAGAGAGGACAATTTGGTTGCAGCATTCTCCTATTTTGACAAAGATGGTAGTGGTTACATCACCCTTGACGAGCTTCAACAGGCTTGCCAAGATTTTGGTCTTGGTGATGTTCATCTGGATGAGACGATCAAAGAAATTGATCAAGACAATGTAAGTCTGTATGTTTATATTTGGTCAAATAATCTCACTTGCCTATTTAATTCTAGTTGATATATATCATCTTCATCAATCAGTGCCATTATTGTCACCACAATTTCATCTATATTAGTTCCATATCAGCGTATATTGGTCTTATAATGGAGCCCTCTTACCTTCGCTCAGTAAGGATGCAAAGCAGTTAACAATATTTTTCCTATATGATCTTTTATGTTCAGATAAAAGTATAATGGTGGTAATTTTAGCGCATGGAGTATAATGAATGTATTTTGCTTGTGGGCTTGAAGTTTGGTTGTTTGCACATATGAGATTTAAGCAGTTGGTAGCAATGAGGAAATAGATTTTCTGGATCATGATGATTCTTCTAGAAGAATTCACATTTATAGATGGAAAAGAAAATCTAGATAACTGGTGGGAAGATATTGCATTTTCTCTCCAAAGGTTGGCCTTGGTTTTTCCTGTCTGTTTCGGTGCACTGGGATCGGGGCATGTGCTTATTTGCTGCAACTGGTTTATGCTGATGAAGCCTCATGCCAGGTGATAATGAATTCAGACTTATATTCCTAACCATAACGTGGTTTATATTGAGAGGTGTAGGTGCCATATGCCTGTATTGATGTAGCCTAATATAAAAGATATGCAGGCAGGGTCTGGATCTCTCAACATCTGCCTGAAATTGCATGATTTTTCTTCTCCATGTTTCATAATTAATGAAATAACGGGAACTACTTTTGTTAAGCATAAAGTCTTTCAAGCGCCAAGACCAAAATTTGACAATGTTAATCTGTTGCTATTTGCAGGATGGGCGAATAGATTATGGGGAGTTTGCTGCAATGATGAGAAAGGGTGATGGAGGAGTTGGGAGGACCAGAACCATGAGAAACAATCTGAACTTTAATTTAGCCGATGCCTTGGGTATAGAAAATGCAACCTCAGATGCTATATGAAGGCAATAGTTTGTGCAGTTATGAACTTGCATTGGTAGAAAACACAATAGCTAAATTTGTAAAGCGAGCCTTGTTCTGGGTTGGGAGGATTCGGTTATTTTTAAGATTTATACAATTGAAGGTCGACGGTAGCATCTCATCTATCATTGTGGTTCAACCACAGAAACAGAGTGACTATGGCAGAAGCAGCAGTTTATCAAAGTGAATTCAGTGTAGATGCTAACATCGTTGATTTTCTGGGCACAAGGCTGGGACATGAATGTAGATGTTATACTTCTGTGCAGACTGCAGAAAATGTGCAAAAATGCTTGCTATTGTGATCTTAAATTTTGTAACTTTCATTATAAGAAGTACCTGATTATGAAAAAGGAAAGCTAATAATAATAATTACATCGATGAACATCCTTGTGTATTGTTTGTCAGATGGATGCTTGCATATTGGACTCGATGGTTGATGGAGAAAAAGTAGTGAAATATTAAGATACTACAGAACCAAACAATAGCTGAGCACAAAAGATGTTTTGCTCTGTCACCTTCGTAGGCAGCACAATCATTCATAAACATGAGATGGTTAATCTTTACCTGAAAAATTATAAACAGATTTTAAAGAGAATATAAAATTAGAAATATAATTAAAAATACTCCGAAGCTTTTAGGGCCAACCAGTTGAAGTTTTGTGCATCCAAGCAATAGTTCTGACTCTATAACCCAATGGACTTGATGAGCTAAAGGAGAAGCCATAGTAATTTCTGAAACTTTCTGAATCACCAACACCTCCACTTTATTGGCTAAAGAGTCTCTAGTATATAATCTATTCAAGGAAGCTAGCCAAACAAAAACTTCTACTTTTGAAGCTAGAAGAAAATTATTAAGCATAGAGCTACAGGATCTGACCAAAAAGGAGCCCTTTAATCATAAGACCAAATAAGACGGTCTTTAGCCTCCATACAAACATAAACAGAGGAAAGCAAGATCAGAAGTTGTTGCTCTTAGTAAATTCACGAGATTGTAACTGTGTCCGGCATGGTGAATAGGAGAGCATCAAAGATGATCATTCGTAATCAGTCTCGTCAACTGAATCCTCTTCACTCAAATTAAATACTCATCAGAGTACTTCTTGCTAGGTAGATTTTCATCGAAGTGAAGATATACCCCACACCTTTTCACCTTGCAAAGCTTTTCGATCTCACCCTTCGTACACAGCATATTAAAGGGGTGGAATTCAAATGTAACTTCATTGCCAGAATATTTACCGAATACATTCTCTTTGCCAAAAAATTTACTGAATTGATTTTCTGATACTGCGGCCTCGTACTGTAACAACATGTGATCTGAGTAAAATGGTGTGCGATCCTGAATTGACACGCAAATGAAGCCCTCATGCTCACCGTTTTTAGTTTTGACACGGCAACACAATTCTGTTGAAACTTCACTTTTGAGCTGTTGACAGTTTGAGGGAAATAGAAAGGCGATGGAGAAAGCAAATCCCTTGAGCTGTTGACAGTTTGAGGGAAACTGTATGGTTACGGAAGACCCCACACCTTGACCACTAAACCATTCTGGAATTTCACTCCCCGTTAAAATCATTGTCATATTTTTTATCTTTGCAGACTGTAACACAAAAAGCATATTTCAAAAATACGATCAACCAAGAAAGAGAGAAATAGGGAGGGAGAGGATATTTATTTAAGAGAGATACCTGAAGTTTCAAATGCATATCTGCTGACAGTGCTTTCTGATCCAATTTGAAGCAATTTGAAAAACGCCAATGAATCCCGCCACTCCGTAAATTGACGGTTGATATGGTTTCTAGTGATGCACAGTCACGTGCAATTAGAAACATTAGTGAAGGGGGAACCTCTGGTGGCTCTCTAATAGGCGTTCCTTCTATATTCAGATATTCCAAAGATATGAGATACTTAATTGATGAGGGCAGCTGTTTAATACCAGTTTTAGCCAAATCAAGACGACGTAAAGATTTTATAGGCTCCGTAGTATCTGGGAAGCTCTCCAGTTTTGAGCAACCCCGCAGACCCAATATTTTCAGTCTAGTGAGAAACTGGATTGAGGAGGGCACCTCTTCTATAGCTGTCCTACTTAGACCTAAATCTATTATATCCCGTAAACCCTCTGGAAACTTGGAAATATTTGAGCAACCAGTTAGATAAAGTTGTTCCAACGTACTAGTAATTGATCCAGCCACTTCTCTTACTGAGGTTCCACTTAACTTCAATTTTTTCATATTTCGTGAAATGATCTCTGGACACTTACTGAGACCTAGACATTTAGTCATAGTAAATGCTCTGAGCTTCTTTGAATCAAACCTACTTGGAAGACTTCTAACATTGCAGCATCCATCGACATCGAGTACTTCAAGCTCCTCAAGACATTGAAGGGAAGGCGGAACCTCAATTAAACTATTACAGCCAACGAGATTTAAAACTTTTAAATTCTTGGCCTTTGATAGATCTGGCAATTCCGTCAGACATTCACACTCACGGAGTTGGATTCTTCTTAAATTTACAAGATCCTGTCATAAGAAAAGGTATAATTAGACAATTGACATCTTCGACTTTCCTATTTCTCCTACAGACACGTTTGCAGAAATTAAATCATATTCACCTGTTCTCCTTTCCAAAGTTTTTCAACCTTACTCCTCCAAAATTCGAGCTCAAAGAGGTTTTCAGCACAAAAATTTTGTGGCAAAGATTTACAAGGAAATCCATCCCAACATAGATATCTCAGCTCATCAGAAAGATATTTGAGACCACTAGAAGGAAGGTGAATTCTAGTGAGGCGACGGTGACCATAGAATTTGAGAAATCGAAGACAATCCATCTTAGCAAAAGCATCAGATTCCAAGTGCATCTCTCTCGATAATTTGGATGTGTCTAAAGATATGCCTTCAATTCGGTCACTTTCCTAAAAATCAAGGATACAGAATAAAAATAAATAAATAATATATTTTTTTTTTCAAAAAATCTGCTTGAAACTTCAAATTTTTAATAGATATAAAATTCCTTGGAAAATATGTCGGAGGAGAGAAAAAAAAAGTGAATGAGTTTAGCTTTAACCTTCTTTTTCTTCAGTACATGAACAACATCATCAGGATCACACAACCTGCTACGTTCGCCAGGATTCTTAGATTCTGCACGAACAATGCTCAATGCCATTTCTTGTAGTAAATGATGTATTTGTAACGTGTTATAAGAAGATGTTATGAGGTACTTATCGATGAGGGTGCTTATATTGTATAGTGCAGACGGATAACAACTTTCTAATACTCTTGTAGCATGCTTTCGCTCCCATCCTATGTAAAAATATGCTATATCAAGAAATATAGATTGTTGTTCGTAATCAAGTCCATCATAGCTAATCCTCAATACATTTTCAATTTGAGGGTTTAGAGCTAATTTATTCAATGCACTATGCCATTCTTCATTGCTTTTACCAAACAAAGCTGAACCCAAAACAATAAGACCTAATGGGTTGCCTTGTGCAAAAGCTATTGTCCTTCCCAACAAATTTTCATGATCAATTGTTGGATTTCTACTATTGAAGGCTTTCATGCTAAAAAGTTGAAAAGCTTCTTCAAGGTTCAATCCCTTAACCTCATATATGCACTCTTCACCAACCATTTCCCTAAGCAATTGCTTATCTCTACTTGTTACCAGAATTTTGCTTCCTGGACCAAATGAAGATTGATGTTTCAAAATCAATTCTTTCCATTCTTGCAATTGCATTAAATTATCCACATCGTCAAGAGCAATAAGAACCCTCTTTCGGTGAAGTCTATCCCTTGTAAAAGAATGTCGGAAACTCAAAGGGCCCATATTCAGAATTTCTTGGCCTAATAGTTGGGAAAGAAAGCTTCTTTGCAAGTCAACCATTGAACGTGTTTTTAATTCTTCCCTAAAGTTTGCAAAAAAGTTCCTTCAAATTGAGTGTGGATATTGGTCCATATAGCTTCAGCAATCGTTGTCTTCCCAATACCACCCATTCCCCATATTCCTACAAGGGAAACATCTTGCGATTCCATGTTTAACAAGGAATCAATTTCAGCAAGGCGTGCTTCAATTCCAACTAGATCCATAGTGTGACTTGAGGGCATCTCTGACAATTTGTTCAAAATATCTCTCACAATTTTCTGGACAAATTCAGACTGCAACCTGACAAATTAACACGAAGACATATAGGATTTGTTAGTACGTAGGATATTGTTCTGGTCTTTTTGCTATATTTAGGTTCGGCATCCGTTCACCTGGGGAATATATTTTCTCTCGGGTCTCAAAAGGTGTACGCATTAGAGTTAAGAGAAAGTGACTTGAAGGAATTATGCAAGTTTTATACTTTGTCTCAAAGTAATAATAATGCTACAATTAATCAATCCTTGAAATTTGAAACTTCATGTAATTGACGTATATGAAAGACAGTAGATGAATTGAGAATATTACAAACTTACAAAAATCTGAATCTATCATCTTACCGACACTTATGCAGCAACAATCACCGACACGCATATGGTTGAAAAAGCAAAGAAAAAGAACATAATTAAGAGAGCTTACTCAGACTTCCCTAAGCCCCGCCTTGATAGATTGGCCGCATCCTTTAAAGCGCTTCTGAAGCTCTGCACGTTGTCCATGGCCAAAGCTTTCTCCTCTATTAGTCTAGCAAATTCATCTCCAAAGCTTCCTGTTTGATTTCTAACATGAGACGGATCAACGAAGTAGAAAACAGGAACAACTATCTGTCCGTTATTGTTTCTACATTCAAGAATCTGAACAAGCTCCTCTAAGCACCATTTTGAAGATGCATAGTTTTCAGAAAAAATAATCACAAAAAGCTTGGACTCTTCCATTGCTTTCAAAAGTGAAGGCGAAATTTCGTCTCCTCTCACAAGCTCATTGTCTATGAAGGTTAGGATTTGTTTCCGCTTCAAAGCATCATAGAGGTAGCTGGTAAAACCACAACGAGTGTCTTCTTCTCTGAAACTAAGGAAGACGTCATATTTCTTGGGAGGGGTAAGGGTTGAAGTAGAAGAAGAAGCCATGAGGAAGGGCAAAAAAAAAAAAAAAAAGAGGGTTTTGAAGGCTAGTTATACAAAGAGGTCAAAGGGAAGAAACTAAAAGACTAGAAGCAACTAATTTGAAATCTGTAGCTAAGACTGCTCTTCAGTTCGTAGCTTTGGAATGTATGAATAACGAGGTTTCAGATCTAAGTATTATATTGGCACATATTAAAGAAATTTCGCATCACTTTCTTGGACACGTAATAAGGAATTTCGCATCACTTTCTTGGACACTTCACACAATCTTTCTTTGGGACTTCCTTTATGCTTTGAAGACCAAGAAAAAGTTACCGGAGAGATGATCTCAAGTCTTCCACTATATTTTCACAAAGATCTCAAGTCTTCAGTTTTTTCTACCAAGTCGTCATCCCACTATAATTAGATAATTTTTATAATTCAAAGATATTTTCCTGAAATTACTAGTTAAAGTTTATATTTTTATGAGTCCTTAGGATATTAAATTTTCTTGTTCAGGCTGATTTTATGCATGAATAATTATGTTTCTTGTATATACATATAAATGATGAACACATAATACAGGTTGATTGGCAAAGTCTCGAGCTTTCCGAACCACAAGGGGATGTGATTCCAAGAGCCAAAAGCCTGGAAAGTGACTGAACGACCTTCTCCGCAAGGCAATTTCCTGTCTCCGAAAGGTACTCGTTCTTTTTCTATAAATTATTTGTTGTTGTATGAAAATATGGTTTGGGTTTGTTCGAAGCTAAAAAAGGAACACTTGATGAACTGTAGTTAGGATATTTTTTGCTGTCATCCATGCTGGCATATCTAACATACTTTAAGCTGTTTCCATTTGTTTTCCAATTTGAGGGAGTTTTACTTGGCTACAGAGAATTAAGTTTGCTTTTGGACTGGCCTGCCTCCTTAAATTTCTACATGCTGGTGACTCCCTACCTAGTGCGCAACATAAGTGCATCTCATATAATGCTTGATCAGGTTGGTCTCCTTGTCTTTTACCAGATATTGTTTCCAACATAAAGGGAGAAAGTTTTTGAAAAAATATTTCACAAACTCCATCACCCTCCACTTTTATATTTGTTAGAATTAGGGTTTGGTCTGGTCCATATTAACCAGGTCTACGTAACAAATCAAAGTTTATTATTTCTGTTATCAATTCATTATCATTTTAGATTCATTTTTGTGATTAATTTTCTTGTTTCCTTTTTGATGCACTTTATTTATAGACTTATAGCATGGATTTTTTTTAATTATTATTTTATTTTTTTGACAGAGGATGAGAAAAGTTCAACCATCTAGCTTTAATTATCATGTTAACAATTTAGAATAATCATGTTCCTAGTGAAGAAGGTTGTCCACTTGCTTCCACAAGCCATAAGAAAAATATTAAAAACCATTCAAACAAAAGTTACGGACGGGTGAAAAAATGATCATGGTCATTATTACGGATCATGACTTATTATAATACTAAAATAACAATAACGGGATGCTTCGAAACCGATATATAACAATCGTTATATAACGTAATGTGAGTTATTTAAAACTATAGTCCTACTTGCTTCAGCCGGTTTGAAACTGCTCGTTCCTTATCCTGTCCTGTGAAATAGTACATCTCTTTCATATTTGAATGTGTAAAAACAACTACATGATTCTATTCGAGAATATAAACATGTTACATAAAGTCCTTAGGCTCTCAAGTGTGTTAATACAGAATAATGAGGAATGCCATTGCTTCCAGCTTCATCAAAGTATATACAAATCGTGGGAAAAACTCCTACTAAAATTTTCAAGGTGGTTGGCATCAAACTTGACCAAACCAAACAACCAGTAACTCTATCCTCGCCAAAAATCCAAAACTGTTGTGGCTCAATTTTTGTACAAGAAATATACTAGATGTGAATGTACATTCTCCCATTTGCACATGTGAATATCTTGCAGTTTTTTTTTTCAAACTCAGTAAAACTGCAGAACTCTCACCGTTGCTGTTTTCATAGGTGTCCATCTGATTTTTCAAAGAATATCCTATTCAGGGTGTGTGAAAAAAAAATGCCCCGTTCTCATTCCTTCTCTGCAATTACCACAAAAACATCTTTCAGTGACCACCTCCGTCTCTCACTTTAGGCTGGTGGATTGATAACAACTCTTTTAGCATTAGCTACACGGTAACCAATGGTAATCTCTCCTTTGTCGGGCTCGTAAGAGTACTTCATAGAAACTCAATTCCTCGCCTTCACAAAGATAAAGGTCTGCTGGCCGTTTTTGTAGCTCATTTCCCTGATGGAGGCAAAATGTTTCATGAATGGTGAGTAAAAAGATTAGAGGATCATAAGCAACAAGTTCTCCAACACAACCAGGAATGAAGCTGATCAATGCTAGAAGATTGTATAAGCAGTAAATACAGAAAGCCCAAAAGCAAAGACTTTACAGTTGTGGCACAATATATTGATTGGCTGAAGTTATCAAAACCACAGTAGGCATACAATTATTTGGATGCAAGGTTCATACTATGGACTCTTTCAATACGAGAATTAGGGCATCAAAATCCATTATAAATTTATGATTTAAAGAAGTGACCAAGTGAATACACTAAGGAAAGAAGCTGATGGTCGACCATTGTGTTTAAGATATCAAAAATAAATCCTTTTGTTTAGCTGTCTTAAGCCAATTGAAGCCACGGAATGCATTAAGAAAATCCAATAACATCATAAAGACAATATAACTGTGTACATTAAGAGAATTGTAACTGATTTAGATCCTTATCGAACTATGGAGAGAATAATGATGAGGAAAAACAGTGAAAAAAATCAACCAGGTAAATAATGCTCATACTGATGTTAAAGAATATGAATAGAGTATTAAGAGTGCAGAATTAGCCTGTGCAAGTCCTGGCTGCCAAGCACATTGAATCATCAAGCGGCCAATAACATCATGAGCTACAACAGTTTCAACAAGTTCTCCACCAACAAGTTTCACAAGAACCCCATTATCAAGATCACTTAGCTCCACCACAATGTGCCCTTTCAGCCCTTCTTTCACTCCTGTTAGACTTAAGATGGTTCTCAATGCACGAGCATCACTCTGAGTAAAACCATAAACGAGTTAATGGTTATCAATGCTAATTGATATCAGATATCAAGCACATCACTTGTTCACTCAAGTAGCAGACCTGGTCAGCATTTCCATCATCAGCAAGGACAACTATTGCACGAGCCTTGCAGACAGATACCTGAAAACTCAAGTCATTACCAAATCAAGAAAAGCAACAGAGGAAATAATGGTTTCATCATTCATGACAAAGTAGCCAAACAAAGAGGAGCAAATATGGCCTGAAATTAAATTAAACAAACACAAAATTTTCGAGAGAATAACTAATCAGGCCATTTAGCATTAATGAATCACTTATTATTTGTACGACTGAAGAAGATTGAATCTGCCCAACTACCACAGCTTTCAGCAGAGAAGACATCTTTATCGTTACAACTTGTAAGCAATATCATAGAGCGTATGTATACCTTTTTCAGATAAGCCAGAATTAAAGGGCTCTCGCTTCTGAATATGACATATGTTCCTTTAAAGTCGAATTCCATTTTAGCAATATCCATTTCCATCTCTTCTTTGTCTCGTTCAGCCATCACTACAAGAATTCCTTTAAAGTCGAATTCCATTAAACAATTATATTTAGCGACGGATTAGTGACGGAGTAGGAAAAAATATTTTTTTATAACAGTTTTGTGATGGAAGGTTAGCGACAGAAACAGCATCCGTCGCTAAAACAAACTCAGCGATGGATATTCGGTCGCTAAATATAAAATTAGCAACCGAATTAATTCCGTCGCTAAAACAAATCCGTTCTGTCACTATTGTCCGTCGTTATTTAAGGGGGAAATTTCCCCCGTTTATTTAGGAGAGAAATTCCCCCCCCCAAATTGTGAAAAGGGGGAAATTTCTCTTCTTTTAGCGACGGAATAACGACGGATTTGAGTCCGTCGCTATTTTCCTTATATATACCCCCTCCTTTCCCTTCTTCATTTGTTTCTTTCACCTACACTACACCTCTCTTCCACTACACCTCCTTTTCCGACATCGACCAAAAAAATGGCCACTCAAGCCGGCTCACGCGAATAAATTTTTTTCCACATCATTTAAGAAAGTAAGGGTTATCTTTCGTCCTCAAAATTGGATCGGATCCGTGCTATATAAACTTCATTTGTCGGGTAAAACTTTCTCACTCAATTTTTTGTTTTTTAAAGTTAGATGAATGTTATATATTTTAATTAAATTTTTTGTTATTAGTTTATTAATTATTTGAATGTTGCTAATTATTTTATTTTGTTAATTGGTATCGGATCCGTGCTATATAAACTTCATTTGTCGAGTAAAACTTTCTCTCTTAATTTTTTTTTAAAAGTTAGATGAATGTTATATATTTTAATTAAATTTTATTTTTTATTAGTTTATTAATTATTTGAAAGTTGCTAATTATCTTGTTTTGTTAATTGATATGTAGTAGTTTTAATTTGTTAGTTGTTATTTTATTTTAATAACTATTGGATTTATTTTGCTAAGTTTTAGTTTGTTGTTATTTTGATAATTAGTTGTTATTTTAGTTTATGTTGCTAAGTTTTATTTTGCTAATTATCTTGTTTTGTTAATTTTTAAGTTAACGTAAATCTTAAAAATATAATTTTTTTTAATTTTCTATTGTTAGATGAAAATTTAATTTTTAACCTTAAATTATTAGTATGATTAATTGATTTAATTATTTTTAATTGTTATAGTTTAATTTGATGAGTTGTTTGTTTAGATATAATTTGGAAATTATATTACTTTTTAATGTAGTTTAATAAATTCGAATATAACTTTTATAAGTAATTTTATTACTTTAATTAATAAAATTAAAATAATATCACATGTATAATGATTTGATTGTATCGAAAAACAATTAAAAAATTATAATTAAAAAATTAAAGTAAAGATTAAAAATTTATAAATAATTTACTAATTAATAAAATTAAATAAATATTTTAGTTGAATATTTTTAAAAATTATGTAGGTGATAATGTAAATTAATGTTTTTTTACTTGTTAAAATCTAATTTTTTTTATATTTTAGGTGAAAATGATAATATAATTACTAAAATTACTTTAAAAATGTTAAAATTATATAAATATATAGATAATTAATAGAATTTAATAAATATTTTAGTTGAATGTTTTCATAAATTATTTAGTTCGTTGGAAATTTAACGTATTTTAACATAAAACAAGTATAAAATTTTATGTATTTTAAGAAAAAATGATAATGTAATTCTCGTAAATTACCTAAGGTAGTGTAAATTAGATTATTTGTTTTGTTTAGTTTAAGTTAACATTATAACATATAGCACTTAAGGTTGAAAATTTAAAAAAAGAAACAAAACATTATTGAATATTAAGAAATTAAGTAGTTATTTAAAAAATTTAAGCATTCCTTATATATTTATTTAAATAGGAAGTAAAATTCAAAAACAAAATTAATAACTAAATGAAGATAATTATATAACTAATATAATTGTTTAATATTTATTTAAAATAATTCGGAATGATGAGAAGTAATTGTTTACAATGATTATGTTATTTTTTGCAGTAATTTAAAAAATGAGACTCGATCGACAATGGATGAATTTTTGGTTAGTAAATGGATTGTTAAATGATGAATTCGTCAAAGGTGTAGAGCAATTTTTAGCTTTTGCTATTGAGCATCCTGAATGTATGGACGGAAGCACAATTAGGTGTCCTTGTAATTTCGGTAAGTGTCGAAATCAAAATTATGAAGAGATTGAAATGGTCAAATATCATTTGTGCCGTAAAGGTTTTGTCCCGGGATATTATAATTGGGTGCATCATGGTGAATTTGAAGACTATATGACATCCGAAACTTCTAGGAGTCGGCATGTTTTAGAAAATTATTATATAGGTGAAGGTAGTTCTAGTGAGCCCCAAAACCCATATCAAAGTATGGTAATGGATGCAGTCGGTCCATCTTTTGATCCGTCTAACATGGAAGAGATTCCTAATCCTAGCGTCTAACACTTTTATGATATGTTGAATGCATCACGTAGAGAGATTTGGCTCGGTTATGATAAGCATTCGCAATTGTCGGCAGTTGCTCGAATGCTTAACCTAAAAGTTGACTATCATTTTCTAGAAAAATGTTTCAATTAGTTATATGAGATGATGAAGGAGTTGATGTCGGTTGATAATCGTATGACATAAAACTTTTATGAAACAAAGAAGCTAGTGAAGGGGATGAGTTTACCGAGTTGAAAAAATTCATTGTTGTCATAACGAGTGCATGATTTATTAGAAGGAAGATAATGAATTAGATAAATGCAAATTTTTTCAACATCCTCGATATCGAAGTTCTCATCGAGGATCGGGAAGAGGAAAACTTGTTCCAAATAAAAAAATATACTACTTTCCTCTAACTCCACTTTTACAACGATTGTATACATCGAATGCAACAGTTGCGCACATGACGTGGCATGCTGAACATGAGGGAGATGATATAGGAGTAATGCATCATCCTTCGATTTAATTGCATGACGGAGTTTCAATTAGATTCATCTTTCTTTTGTAGATGAAATAAGGAACATCCACTTAGGAGTGTGCATCGATGGGTTTCAACCATTTGATCAATCCGGTGCGTAATATTTTTCGTGGTCGGTCGTTGTGACTCTATATAATTTACCACCATGGATGTGTATGAAGGAGAAATATATGTTCCTAACGAGTGATTGTTCCGGGTCCAACAAATCCAAAACATAAGTTGGACGTTTACTTGTAGCCTTTCATATCCGAACTTATCCATTTATGGGAGGTACGTGTAGTGACCTATAATGTGTCTCGTAAGCGAATTTCTTATTGAGATCTACAGTTATATGGACTATCGGTGACTTTCTTGCTTATTCAATGCTTTCACGGGTGAAGTACTAGAGGAAAACAAGCTTGTAAATTCGGATGCTTTCTCCCTTCCAAATGAAGAAAGACCTCTTAGTTTGACAACCATCAAAATTTTCTTCATCATAATCATCCGTATAGAAGAAACAAGAAAGCATTCATCACCAACAAAGTTGTTAAATCTGGTCCTCCTTCAATCCGATCCGGAACAAAGATGTTACATCTAATCGAGCGAGTGGAGGTTATTGAAGGTGATAGAAGATGGTGCGGATGATCATAATAGTAGAATCTCCGAGATGTGTGGATGGAGAAAGCGGAGTATTTTTTGGGATTTGCCTTACTTGGAGTACAAATATCATCCGACATAATTTAGATGTCATGCATATTGAAAAAAATATTTTTGATAATGTTTTTAACACAATCATGAATGTGCCAAGAAAAACTAAAGATAATGCCAACTCCATGAAAGATTTAAAACCATGAAAGATTTAAAACTCTTCGTAAAAGGCCGAATTAGCAAAGGATGATGCGTACGGAAAGTATCTTAAAGCTCGCATATACTTTGTCAAAACAACAAAAAAGAAAATTGCTTGAATGGATAAAACAACTCGGATTCCCCGATGGATATGTGTCCAATCTAGCTAGATGTGTTGATATGCAACATGACAAACTTTATAGGATAAAAAGCCATGATTGTCACGTTTTCATGCAACGTTTACTTCCAATTGTATTTCGAGAGTTCTTACCGAGAAATGTTTGACAATCACTTACGGAGTTGAGTTTATTTTCCAAGCAATTGACTTCTTCGGTCATAAAGCAAGAGGATATATTGTGACTTAATGATGAGATACCCATCATTTTGTGCAAACTAGAACGTATATTTTCGCCTAGCTTTTTTGACTCAATAGAGCATCCTCTAATTCATCTTCCATATGAGGCATCTCTTGTTGGACTCGTGCAATATCGATAGATGTATCCATTTAGAAGGTATTGACATTCAATTTAAAAGTGAAATGAAATAAATTTCTTACCTTCAAACGTTAAAATTATTCATATTTGCAGGTATCTAAGAAAAATAAAAATAATGTTAAGAATAAAGCCAAAGTGGAAGGATCAATATGCAATGCATATTTGGTCGAAGAAGCCTCTCGATTTTGCTCGTATTATTTTAAGCCTCATGTGGATACAAGGCATCGAAAAATGTCTCGTAATTTTGAATTCAACAACAAAGAAGAAAACCATATTGAAGGGATGTTATCCATATTCAAGCGACTGAGTCGACCAATTGGTCGATATAAGATAAGAAAATTGACACAACAAGAACATAGAAGCGACATACCAATATATATTACTGAATTGTGAAGAAGTCAAACCTTACATTGAGTGAGTTTGACCTAATTATTATATTTAATAATTCATATTAGGAATATAGTACATACTAACTTATGTTTTTTAATAATTCTCTTGTCTTTAGTGGATTTCTTACCAAAATGTAACAGAACAATCCATTCCTGTCCCAAAATGAAGTCGATGCTCTAACTGAAAATGAGTTTACCTCTTGGTTTAATCAATATGTAAGTATGATCATTTTATATGTTTAGTTTATTGATAGCATTAATAAAAAAATAACTAAATTTATAGGTGATTTTATGTTTAACTTACGGACACAAAATGCCCAAGCAATTGACATGAAA